GAGTAGGACTAGTTTAAGTTGGACTCTACTACTTTTCTCATTTTGTTTTCTTCTCAGTTTCTCATATGTATTTACATTATCTTTTTTATATTCACATATTTTTAAGGCAAAGTTGAAAAACACTGTAAAGTGACACCTCGCCTTTTCATTCCTATGAATAAAGCCGTTTATTATTATTATTATTATTAATAGGCGGCACATTGTCAAGATGATGTGACGCACGTTTCGTCAGAGCTGTGACCAGAGATACCAATATTTTTGCGCCTCGTGTGTGCGGTCATGTGTATTAGAATAAGACCACTATGCTGTCTCGGCAGCCGAGCGGCAGACGCTCGGCGAAAATGCGCCTCGTGTGTCTTTGTCCAAATGGTTTTTGATTTAGAATTCGTAAATTTTCGGAAATTGGCTTGAAAATCTGTAACCTCTAATCGGTTGCATAGACACAAATTTGTATAGATCGAGAACTCTCGTGACATTTCACATCGATCTAGAAGGTTTTTAGTTTGGAATTTGGCAGTTTTTGAAAATTGACAGGAAAATCGGTAACTTTATTGTTATCGGTTGAACTAGAGACATAAATGTGTATAGATTCGGAATCATTGTGAAATTTTGAGTCGATCTAGATGGTTTTTGGCGAGAATATCAGTAACTGTTTGTGTACAATTGTGTACACGGAAAAAAAGGATTTGTTGCATCACAAATATTTATGCTTGGATAATTTTTGTTGGACAAAGCAATTTTTTGTTGAATCAAACAGCTATATGATCATTCCATGGAAGCAGCTTGTTCAAATCAAGAATGTAGTCTAATTGTATCAACTGTATAATATCAATTCCATCAACAATATATGGTTATGTCAAAAACAATTTATGTCTATCCAAAATCAAACAATTTTTTTTATCGCTTGAAGCGCACGAAAAGAAATCCATATAATGTTCAAAGAACATCGTGCGTTCCTAGGGAGGATAGGGACAGGAGGTAGGTATTGGAAGTTTTTTGAACTTCAGGATATTATATGTTGCTGGGAATACTTCCTCTGGCAATGAATTCCAGAGCCTAGCCGTGCTGTTCGACATCTTTCGAGGTTGACAACGAAAGGATGTACTGACTGGGCTTGTCTAGTTCGTCTGACTGGTCTTGCTAGTCAAGGGATGATGGCAGAGATTTCTGAAGAACATTTCCCGTGGAAGTATCGATAGAAAAGTGAAAGGTCGCTGACCTTTCTACGGTGTTCCAATGATGTCAAAGAGTGAGTGAGTGTGGCGTCACCCACCAGGCGGATGGCTCTTTTCTGGATGGAATCTAAGAACATCAGCGTATGTTTTGGTGCTGAACCCCTTATGTGGGAACAGTATTCTAGAACAGGCCGTATCTGCGCTTTGTAGATCATGAAAAGCTGTTGGGGTGTAAAGTAGCTTTAGGCACGGAACAAGAATCCAAGTTTTTGTGAAGCAGCTTTTGCGATGGATCTGACATGATTCTCCCATGAAAGAGTGTTGCTGATGGAAATACCGAGCATAGATATGGTGGGCTTCGTGGGGATGGTGGTGCCAGACATTACAATATCGGGCATACTGAGTTCCGCCTTTCTAGAGAAAATACAGGCTTGAGTTTTGGTGGCGTTGAATTCAACTAGGTTGTTGATTCTCAAGGCTGTGATTTCAGCAAGGTCGCTTCATTGACAGCATTGACCTGCCTGCGCCGTGAGTTCTTAGTTTCCTGGGAAGAAATGGGAATTCTGGAAGAGAACGCAGTATGGAGGGTACTATCATCTGCAAAGCTGTGGATGGGGCAAGTTGTTACTCCCAACAGATCATTGATATGAAGAAGGAATAATGTTGGTGCCAAAATTGATCCTTGTGGTACACCGAAATTGATGCCAATGGTATCAGACGATACACCGTCCACCACCACGTGATCTGCCTGAAAGAAAACTCGATAAGAGATGGCATAGCTGAGGTGTTGGAGCCAATTCAATATATATTCATTAACAATTCATGAATTCGCTTCCAAACTTCGAATTCGCTCTGATACAAGATAAATATTTACTCATTCCAAGATTATATTTTGTCGTGCCTATATGACACTAATATTTGCTTCAGTCAAATAAATTTTGCTTGAATCAACAATTCCTTCTTTCCGTGTATAGATTGGCAATCCACTTGACATTGTAGATCGATCTTGATGTTTTTTGATAAGAAATTTGGCTATTCTCTAAAATTTGCGATGAAATACAGTTACTTCGTTATCAGTTGGATAATTGAACAAATATTTATAGATTTGGAGTCCTTGTGACATTTTACGTTGATCTTGATGGTATTTGATGAGAAATTCGGGAAAATCGATATGATGATATTTTTTTTTCATGTTCTGGTTCCCACGAAAAGGTATATCCTTCAATGTTCGGAGAACATCGTGAGAAATGAGGGAAATAAGGTAGGAATTGGTGTTCTTCTTGAATTTCTGGAGATTATATGCCTATACATATTTTATCTGAAGGAGATTGCAAATTCTCAACTTCAGAAGATTTTGTTTCCTAATTCTTATCGTGTGTGTTCAATAGATATAATTCAATGTTCGTCGTGGCATATAGCCAGGAAAGTAGTTGTTTTCTGTTGAATAAACCAAAAAAGAATTGATATTTGCATCATATAGAGAATGCGGATTCTCAATATATCATTTTTATGTTTATAATTCATCTGAGGATATTCCTTTTCAATAATTCCACCCATCAATGGGCTCCGTGACCGAGTTTGTCTATGCGCTGAAATTCGCTAGATAGCCGTTCACGATGCAGAGGTACTGTCGGTTCGAATCCGGCTATCGGCTGAGCATTTTTCTTTAAAATGTGTGATTCATGGTTGAAATCCTGGCAGCACCTCGATGCCCTAGAAGTGGTTCGGTTTCCACTATAAGCTGTAGGTCCCGCTCTTCCTAACCCCGCATAAGTTTCGACTTCTGGGGAGTTGGTTTCCAACTTTGAAGTAGCGATATACAAATTTTACGGAAAAAAAAATCAATCAAGAGGTTCAAACTTGAACGATGGAAAAGTCATTTTTATAGACCATCAATCGCAGATTGGTGATTAGGTTTTCTCAATTCAGAATTTGTTTCCACGTCCTGTATGATGAATATCAATTTGTCATACATCCGAAAACTTCGACGAGTTGTGAAAAAATACTGAATACATGTGACGTGCAAACTCATACATCAGTTTTAATTGAAACTTATGTGTCGAGATATACCGGGTGTAACAGGATCATGATACATGTTGACAATATCCGACGGACGGTAATTTAGACATATTTACTCATTCAGGTTAGGATTTTTGAGGTTAGGGGATAGGAGAAGAAGAGAGGTGAGAGAGGGAGAAAAGGGGGAGAGAGACGAAATATGTACGAAGGTCGTAGAACTGGAATGAGTCTAAAAATGTATTGAATAGTTTGTTAAAACCCCAAGTGATGATTAAAACTGTGTTCTGGAGGTTTGAGTTATTCATAGAGTCCTGAGTAGTGCCGAACATACACAAGTATTAAGTTGAGAGAAGAGAGCCGATAGTGAAGTCCAATTCCCCAATAGACCTATCAATCCTGACAAATAGTATAAAATAAATACTTAACATACACCAAACCATTTCGATGAACTTATAATTTGGTGATAAATCAGGAATTTTGACGTTTTTGATTCAATTTTTCCACCATTCCACCAGTCGGTATGGGTGAATCATACTCGATCATAATAGTCATAGCACACTCAGTTGGATGATGAAAAATGAAATTGAAATCAATAATGGAGTTCGAAATGTCACTCTGATGGTTCTCATGGCAAACTTGGTAGTAAAAACCACATATATCTATATCTATCTTCGTTTCAAAGTTTGAAGGTGTTTTTAGAAAATGTTCATTTTCGAAAAGTGGCTGCAACTCATTTTTTCATCATTCAAAAAAATTCGGGATCATAAATATCCCGACATTATATTATATTGAGATAATGTATTATTATATCAGAATCTACCTTGAGAGAGTCTTCAACTCAAAAACCTCATAGTTTTTGGTCATTCCATTCTATTCTTCGTTACTTCCATCACGGACGGAACCAAGATTATATGAAAATTTTTGAATTTCCTGTTTCTCTTTGTTGAATAAACATAGCCCAGCAAACATTGAACTAGCGGGAGAAGTCCGGCCTAGTGCAGGCTAGTCTGGGACGGTGGAGTTTTTTCATTTTCCATTGTCACTCGAAATTAGGGCTTTCATCATCTTCATTATTATATGTATCTTTTCTGTCGAGTAACCGACAAAAATTATCACTCACTTCTATGTCAAAATTATGTTGCCAAGGACAGCCTCCCTCTGATGTGTCAGTGCTGGGCACTCAGTGAGGACATGTGATGACGTTTCATCATCTTCCAGGCACCATCATCTTTGACTACTAGCTTGGTAGTAAAAACACACTTTACGCCTTCAAAAGGAGTAAAAAATGGTAAGTTCTATAGCTAGTGTTGAAAAATAGTTATTTATACACCAAGGTAGTAAAGGATTTCAATAATATCTAGGGACCAAGATTATATCCCGAGACATCAGCCGAGGAGAATAAGGTCCCGTGGTAATAATATTCTTCACAACCAAGGTGTATATTACATGCTTTTCACCATTAGCAATACATTCCAATCATTTTAGTTCTGTGAAACTGAGATATGGGCTTATTCTCACTATGAAAGCCCTTCTTTTCAATTTTCATTAAAATCTAGTAGCCACGACCATGACAGCATATGACAAGTCGTTATTAATAAATACCTACTAGATTCGAGTGCCATTCCTGCGAATATCGCCATCAGAATAGTGAATTCAGGTTAATTACAACAGAGGTGGCTATGTCTTCATTGACTAGTGGTTCATAATATTAAGAAAACTATCTTGGTAGTAAAAATACACTTCACGCCTCGGAAAGGAGTAAATGATGGTAGGTTTAATAGCTAGTGGTGGAAAAAAACATTCAAGTCGAGCTCGAATTTATTGATGATCAATGTTTCAATATCAATATCATGAATGGATGTGTAAATGACTGATAATTTTCAATTCATTTTAACTTTTTTCTGCTTCCAATTCACAAGTCTCCACAAGACCAATACTATTTTTAATACAATAAAGTACGCAAATAAGCAAAAAATCAATAACAAAAATAGGTAAATGTCAAATGAAGACGAAATGAAATCCGATATGTGCCTTGACTGAGGATCATAAATGTTGGTGCCGTTATTTCGCATGGCGAATTCAATCCAAAATAATGCTCGTTCCATTGAAGTTTGTGGTTGATCCCTCATTAATGAAGATATTCTTTTCGCATTCTTGAGATACCTGAAACAATTCAAATTGTATTTCTCGAAAAACCTTCCTCAAATCGAAGAAATAATATGTATATAGGTAGTAAGTATCACGTTCAGATATGTGTTGAATCATCCGTGGACGAGGAAGAGGTTTTATACCGAGCAGCTGGTATTATTTGTTTAGAAGTAGTCGAGAACAAATTTGGAATTGTTGTTTCGGATTAGATTGTTGGCAGAATCATTATGAACCCAATTAGCGCCAGCGTCAGCGATGTCTTTGATAAGACGTACATTTTACGTCTTTAGGTACATACATCCCACAAACATGTATGAATGCAATTTGAGAAATTGAAAATTATGAAAATTAGAACTGTGCATCGCAGTATGCACCTCTTGCTTCTTGACCTGGCCCAAAATTATCAGTAAATACTTTGAAAGAATTATATTCAGTGTGGAAACCTATGGTGGCATGAAATCCGTACTTCCATATTAGGAATACATTTTAAAGAGTCCTTTTATTTTTAGAAACTATTTTGTTTCTTACATGAACATTGAACATGTTCATCCACCTGCCAACCCCCTACGTAGAGATCAAACATTTCTTTTCAAATTGAACTAGGGGTAAAGTTACACCTTGTTAGAGAGGTATATTGAATCTCTATATTATAGCAGTTCATTTTCTTAAATTTGGTTGAGCGATTATTGAAATTCATTGGAATTTTCGTCCAAATTATTGGCGATGGTAGGTACTCTGTTTCATTGTATTGTTAAGGTAATTTTCCTACATAGAAAATTAGTTTCTCCCAACTGTTCTGAAGTAGAGGTTGTCACTCTGTATTTGAATCAAGCATTTTTCCCCCCTTTTGTCTGAAATCCTGGTGTCAAATGAAAAATAAAAACGTTTCAAGTGGTGTATCCAATCCAATATGGCGTTGGGGCGCATCTACCATCATTGGACAAAACGAATTGAAAAATCGCAGCCGTTCAGAAGTTAACTGGGGAAGGTTAATTTATGGACAACGTGTTCATGTAAGAGTGTTTCAGGAAAAGATGGCCAGTTGCACAAAATACTGCAATATATGTTTGCTCAGTAAAAATAAATCGTAAGGGCATCCGTAATCAAGATACAAGATACATATTTTTTTACTCATTTAGGTACATGATTATGTCGAAAATACTGGCATCATTTTATTTTAATATGTTTCGGGATCTGACATATATCACATGAATTTGTTTTCATATCGAACTGTGATAGAGGGCGTTAGTTACACCAAGTAGTTTTGAACATAATTTTTTTGAGGTTATATTTTTTAGTCAAAATCTCATTCGAACTTGGTAGTACCCAATACTGTGTACAGTTTTCGTAATATGCGTTCTGGATGCCGCTACGAAAATACTGAGCAAACCCAACACATGTTTCACTGTTCTTCCTACCCTATAGTAGGTAATATATATTTTTTGAAGCACCTCGTATGGTGGTTATTTTCTAATCATGCTTCTTGCGGCACCCTTTATAATATATCAGGATGAAAAATATAAACTTGTATTCCATTTTATGCAGGAAATTATTAATACATACTTTGGGTTTGTCAAAACGTTGTTGATTGCTTCTAGTAAACTCTCTGAAGTCAAAGTATCATATTGCATGGTAACTCCTATTTCTCTAGTTTCCACCAGTTCCATATTAGAATATTGGTCTGCGAAAAATGGGATACCCACCATCGGTATTCCATAAAATGCCGCCTCAATTGTACTCAAACCACCTCCGTGGGTAATGAATAACTTCAAATTTGGGTGAGCTGAAATATAAAAAGCGTATTTGGTTAAAATCATCGGTTCATTTGATGCAATTAAGTACAGTACAGAGCGAACCACCGGCGCCATATTCTGAGCACACTATAGACCCTTACGGGAAACAGTAATTTCAGTCAGCACTTTTCTTGTCGTAAAAATTGCACTGCGCATGGCGTGGCTAGTATGCGCAGTAGCTCAGCTAGCAGGGCAGGTGTTTTGTTTACACTTCTTTGATTAATATGCCTTTGTGATTCATTCTGATATGTTGGTGGGTATGTTTTTTCAATGTTTGCAGCAACATATTTGTGATATATGTGAAGCGCTCGGTGAAGCGCATACGAATTCAGAAACAGAACTGGTTGATGGATGAATTTATTCACATTCTAGAACATATGAAAATTCTGCTAAAGGTGCATATGGAAATTCAAAAATGCAGGGCTTCTTTTCATACCTAGGAGTATGTGAAGATAATCATGTTTGCTTAAAATTCTCCTAATTTTTTAAGAAAAAAATAACAAGTACAGTTCTGCTGACACATCCTTGTGAAAATTTGCCACGTGATTATCTCAACAGTTTGCTTATTCGAACAAGATTTTTTTTTTACTCTGGAGTTTATGAGAAGAGAGTTATTATCACAACCGGAAACTGAAAGACAAAATTCGAAATTGAAAGTTGTGCAACATTTTTTTCCTCATGATTCAAGTTTAATTTACAAATTCTCATTCGATTTCGAATTGACCATGATAACTAATTATCCATATATAAATGTTTCTAATACTCTTGAAATTGACTTGTAAAATTATTATTCTGGTGATATGTAATCTCATTAGGTACCAATGACAAATAAGGTATACAAAATTATTCATGATGTATTGAAAAGACACATATTCACGCAATATGGAGACATGTCCGAGATGAAAAAACATCAAAATTAATTTTTCAAATCTATTCAGTTTTACGGAGAGAAAAAAGATAATTTTTTTCTGAGCCGTAAAAATAACATAGGAATTTGTGACGTTACCGAAAAAAAAGGCAACAACGTTGCTTAAATCGCCAAACTCATAGAATGTACAATTGACGGTGAAATTGAAGACCTAGATATAGACATTGAACATCTACAAATAATAAGTTCACAGAGTAATGAAGTTCTCGAACAACGCTGATAATGTATCTCCAAAAAACCTTGTCCTGAAGTTTGTTTCATATTTAATGTAGAATAAGTTTATGGAAGCAGCTAGCAAAGGAAATGGTAGAAAGATACAACTACCGAATCAGACAAACAATGTTTATAATAATGAACACTCATCTCCTCATTATAAAGCTCTTTTCAAGAAATCACGTGAATTTTCTTGGCTACATAATAATAAATATACTGTTAGATCAAGAAAGGAGCAATATTCGTGAAGAAGTCAGATGCTACGAGGCCTTTCCTCATGAAAAATGAAGACTCTCTGGCAAGACTTCTACAATAACTTAACACCTAGCAATTGTACTTTGACATAATTTCATCCTCTTCTTGTTTCGAGATAGTTTGAGCATATATTATCAAAACACAACGGGTCTAAAAACTTGAACTGAAACGTTGTTGGAGTCTACTAGTTCCTGTGATTTTGAAATAATATGCATCTATGAGTCATGGCTCAAGGACGAAGTGTCAAGTGCGGAGTTTCCTGCTAGTTACAATGTCTGAGTGGTGTACGAATAATGTAATTGGAGATTTGTGGGTGTCATTGCAACTCAACGAAGAAAGGAAACTTCATATATGTTGTGCTATATACCTCCTTATGCCATTTCAAAAGATGTCATACTTTTCATGATCGATTTATTGTAATCGGGGACTTCAAATTTTCGAATAAAGACTGGCATCCTAATTTTTCTGAGAGATGTTGTCTTCCTATTGTTTCTTATAATGATCCTGTCAGCGATTTTGCATTGATGGATTTCAAACAATTTTCTGGCATCAGAAACGCCAACAACAGAAATCTTGATCTTGTTTCTGTCGCCGTCTCTTGAGGTAGCAGTTAACAAATAGTTATCACCCTTTGTAAAAGAGGACGTTCATCATCCCTCCTTGGAAATTTTGGTGAGTCCAGTATTACGTAATACTCATAACCGATTGAAATTTTATGAGGTTTACTATGCTGGTATAAATCCGGAACTTGAAAATCAAAACTGGAGAGAACTTTTCCTGAACTGTTCTATCGACGGGACGGTAAATAGGTTTTATGGAGTGATCAATCATCAGATTGACTTGTATGTACCCCGCAAAAACATTCCGAAATCAAAACTTGCCCCTTGGTTTGGAAATGGAAAACCCCGGAGATTATGATACCTTCTCAAATTTACGCAAGGTCGTCAAATCTAATATTGATGATGATTACAAAACCTAAGTTCAATCCACCGAAAGTAATATCAAAACCGATCCTAGAGTTTTCTGGTCATTTATCAATAACAGAATAAAAACCAAATCCTTGCCTGATTTGTTCAAATTAAATAACAAATCCACGTTAGAAGTGGAATCACTATGCCCTTTCTTTTCGAAATATTTTCATAGCGTATATAAATCTGAAACATCACCACCAGATATCCGAGAAATGTCATCTACTTACCGAGTATTTCAGTCTGCGGTATCCATTTCCTGATGATCACGTTTTTGGGAAGATTTGTTAAATCAGATTCGAATTTCCATAAGACTGTTTGATTCACCTTACTAAAAGCCTTCAGAATGTTGTTTATTTTTTCTAGGCTCATGTCAACGGATTTTACGTTTGTTCCTAAGGAAAATAATATGACCCCGTTTTTTGCAGAGTCCATTATATCTTGTAAATCCTGAAAGAAATATTCTTAATTGAACGATCTACACAATTTGATCAAAGATGCCAGAGGCGTACAGGGTGTGCCTCTTAAAATGGAACCCCTCCTTAACTCTTTTGTTTTCGGAGGTATGAAAAAATGTTGAACAAAGAAGTTGTTTGAAACGACCCAAACTTTCATTTCGTGAAGTTGTTCCATATACAGGGTCATTCGTTTTTCCAGAAAGAACATCAACTCTGGTTTTTTCAATGGAACACCCTATATATTTTCCAATATGTCGATATAGCTTTTTCTACTGGTTCTAAAAATATGACCAAAATACCGCTTTATGAACCTTCACTTCATAGGTATAATATCATCTAATTGTCTGATTGTCCTGAATTATTGGCCTCCCTAAAATTTCATGTTCCTCAAAAACGATTACGTTATAGCAGCACTTTCAATTTAGAAACTCATAGAACTATATATGCAAACAATAGCCCGATAAACTGGATGATGACGCTGAGTAACAGAGTGAACTGGGACATTTTTAACACTGGCACTGAAAGAGCCAAACGCATTCTTGCAATAATGTAATGTTTTTATTTTTAATGTTCATTGTCTTTAAAGTGTAGATATGTATAAATCAATCAATGTTCTGTGATATGTTGTATAGGCTATATATATACATGTTTTTTTACACTGGGTTCACCCGTTAATAAATAAATAAATAATAAATAAATAAATAATGTAAGTTGAACATAGTGGGCTTTGAAATAATGTTTAAAAATTGTTTGAGCTCCATGTTTATTATGAAATTGAAAACGCTCGATTTCTATAGAGAAAAAAAGGGTTACAGTTTGAATGAAAGATGTGAAATTTTGGAAATATACATTTCTTGCGGGAAAAATGCAACCGTTGCTCGTAGAGAATATGCGCATCGGTTTGGTGATCGTCCGCTTCCATCTTTGAATACCTTCAAGAGGATCTTCGATAAGTTCAGACAAGATAGTGGTGATTTGGGTGATATGAAGAGGAATCGGCAAAAAACGGTACTCATAGAAGGGACAGAGGAAAATATATTACTTCATTTCATTGAAGACCCGAGTCGATCGACAAGAATGGCTGCAAATTACTTCAATATATCCACGACAAGTGTGAGACGAGTTTTGAAGAAGCATCGTATGAAGCCATACAAAGTAATGCCAGTGAATTATTTGTTTCCTCAAGATCATCCAAATCGTTTACGATTTTGTCATGAAATAATTGAAAGACATAATCGCGATGAAAATTTTACTAAGAATATTTTATTCACGGATCAGTGTTCATTTTCAACTTCAAGAATGTTTAATAGGAAAAATGAGCATAGCTGGGCTACGGATAATCTGAGAGTAATAAAAAAGGTCGGAGAAGTGTAAATGTCTGGTGCAGTGTTTAAAAGTAATTGGTCCCATCGTCATTGATGGCAGTCTTACGGGGGAAAATGGATATGTTGCAAGGTGATATTCAAAACTTGCTTGATGAAGCAATCCCTTGGAATAGACGAAACCAATTGGTATGACAGCAGGATGATGCACCTCCTCACAATGGAATTGAAGTCACGAACTACCTCAATGAGAGTTATGACACTTGGATTGGAATGCGATGACCAATATTTTACCCGCCCCGTAGCCCGGACCTGACGTCTTGTGATTTTTTCCTGTGGGGAGCGCTGAAAGACAAGATCCATAAACATGATATTCCGGATACTGACTTCTTGAAAAATGAAATAACAAAAGAAAACATTTTTGAAAATTTGTTGTAGATGGCTCTAATGTGTAATCACAATCTCATATAGTTCATTCATAAATATTTTTTATAAAGATTCATTCAAGTTTGGTTGTCAAGAACTCTTGATGATATTTCGACATCTACGCATGCGTTGCTGTTATAGTGTGATACCAAATCTATCCACATAATGATTTTTAGTTTATTGACTTTTCCATGGAATATTTTTTCGAAGCCCACTATGTTCAACTATGATATAAAGTGAGAATCCATAAAGCGATATTTTGGTCAACTTTGATCATCAATAACTCAATTATTCTTCATCCGAATATGCAACTCATATATATTTTTGAAATCAGAAAAACAAGTTCTATCGACATGTCGAAAAATATATAGGGTGTTCCATTGAGAAAATCAAAGTTGATGTTCTTTCTGAAGAAACGAATGACCCTGTATATGAAACAACTTCACGAAATAAAAGTTTTGATCGATTCAAACAACTTTTTCGAAAAACATTTTTTCATATCTCCGCTAACAAAATAGTTAAGGGGGGTTCCATTTCAAGAGGCGCACCCTGTACATACTACGAAAAAGTTTGGAGGAGATAAAGAAGCCTCTACCTCCAAAAACGTATCACCCTGTAGATTTTGAAAATCTTTGAAATTCTTGAAATGAGGATCTTCTAGGAATTATTGACCACACCAAATTTCATAATGATATCTTGAAAAGTAAGCGAGATATTTCAATTGATAGAAGAAAATAAATAAACTTTGACCCCCTGTAGCTCCGCTACTGAACGAGATCGGACTAATGTTTATATGAACTTTTTTGATTGAAATGATGAGATCTATCTTCCATTTCAGTTTGTGCCTTAAAACCTGAATCACCCTGTATATCCATTTTTTGTGTTCATAAATATATCCGAGATATTCCTTTTCAATATCATCTTTGTTATTTTCAATGGGACATCTTGTATTTGCCAACATTTTTGAGTTCATCTCATGATTCTGATTCAAAATCATTCATCATACTCTATACCTAATATAAACTGTTTTTGTGTCATTCGAGTTTCTCTGACAAACATACGCCATTTTTATGACAATTGCGATGTTCAGTGAAATGTAGTGACTGAATCATGAATATTGAATGTTGAACGGATCACGCATCACAAAGACTGAATAATTCACAGGGTGCGCAGAAAAGTTTGTCTAAACAGGGAATTTCGAACATTAAAAATCTCATTTTTTTTATATTTCGATTATATCTCAAAAAGGAGCCCTATATTTCTGATCAACTTCCCTATACCCAAAACCCAAAATTTGGGAAATATTCCATAGATAGTTCTTCACTCTGCAAGAACTGCCTGTAATTTTGAATTCTTCTTAGTATGCTGTGCAAAGTATCTATCGATAATAATACAGGATTCGTTAATGTACATATAAAGGCGATAATAAAACAAAATCTTGATTATTATACAAAACACGTGCAATATTGCACTTTTGCAGATGATGAATCTGATACATCTCAAATCTGACATATGACATCAGTAAAATACTTTAATTCATTTGTTATCAGATATTTTGCTTCACAGTTTAGCCTTCGTGATCTGTAGAAACATCGAGTCCTCCAAGGATTATAATAATCAAAATCTTCTCAATCGATTTTGGTTCATTATTGTTTTCCCTTCAAAAGGCCCCATTTTTTAACAGAGAAACAGATGTGCAATACTTCATTAGCTACTTCCACGATATCGACTATGGATCGAAAAATTCCTTCCGTAAGAGGTTTGGATAGATGTGTACGTCATTAAATAATGGGTATGCCCATTAGTATTATCTGTTTAAAATATTTCTGAAACTATTCATCATAAACAGTGGAATTTCGTTGAGGGATCGTGTGTCGATGTATATGTCTAACTTATTTCATATAACAGGGATTTGTCACATAAATTGTAGCATTTCCCAATGAGCACATGTACCAAGCGAGGTACCTTGTGACACGTGATAAAATATAACTCTTTTACTTTCAACAGTGAAGAAAAAAATAAAAGACAACATCACAAGAGATCTTTTTCACTTCTCGAATCAACAAATACATTGTCATTTTCTGCAAATATATACAGGGAGCAGCAGAAAATGTACGAATTTTAAATTGGACATCCTAAACATTTCAGAAGTCCTTTCTTCGAAAATAGACCCCACTCGCGGGATCACCTTCTGTATCTCTCAAAATATAATGGTCTTTCAAACATGATTATTCCAATTTTCGATAGTAGACCATGAGTAGGCCGTGACAATTATTATAAATAATTGATTTCCATTGATCACCGCGAAAATGAGAATGAAATGTCAAAGGTAGCAAAATAGCGAATATATCTGTTTTTGCAATCAAAATAAGGAAGACAATAAAATTGATTGGATATTTTTGGAATGCTCTTCGAAACGTATTCCCAATGGTGAAGAAATATAGGATGTTTTATTTAAAATTCACACACTTTTTGCTACTACCTGTATATCTTCTCGGATATTAAAAACGTATCTTTTGATTCGAGGACGAAATAAATCCCCTGTAAGGCTGTCAAAAATAATTCAGTTGTGGGGGTTGGAACGTGTATTCAATGTTTTGACTGAAAAATACGTTACTCGTTGTTTTCCAACGTTCAATTTGGTTATGACAATAACGTTATATACAGTGTGTGCGATTTCAACCCGCGAACCCGTCGAACGATTTTCAGAAACAAAAATTCAATAATATGCTACTCAACGAGCTTCATTCGAAAATGTGGACAATTTTTAAATATTCAGATTTTCAAGGCCTACTTTTGTTTGTTGAAACGGTCAAAATTTCAAAAACGACTGGCCTAATCCTTTGTTTTTGAAATAGTGACTAGCCAATTCGATTCAGGCATAGCTGAAGTACCACTATACGGAATTTGAACGCAAAATCTCATATAGGGTGTTAGTTATTCAATAGCGAATTTTGATATTTTTGATTTTTCGATTCACCCTGTATTAAAATCTGGGGTGTTAATATAATCAATGGAGTAGTTATTCAAAATAGGAACACATCGAATACATAGGTACGAAGTTTCAACGCTGTAAGTTCTACAGGAAGATTTCTCTAGGTCAACCAATATAATTAATGAAATTGAAATCGTTTTTTTTTATTATGATCCATAACTTTTCTCTAGGAAATATAGGAAATGGTGACTAATATTCTCTATACATAAAAAATTTCATTGACATCTCAAATTTTCAATCCATTTCGCCAAAATCGGTATATTATTATGATCTCATCAAACATCAGTATATCTCATAGCAGTCTTCAGAGAGTATTTGTCTGTCATTCTATTTGTGTTATATTCGACAGCTCTTTATCAAACAAGACGATTTTCAAAGTGACTGTGTAGTGTAGTGTGTGAAATACGGTTTACTCGACTTTTCAGTATGGTGAATCTCAACTTTACTTTAATTGATTTTTTGTTGATCTAGAGAGAGATCTTCCTATAGAAGTTATAGCGATTAAACTTCGTACCTATGTATTCGATGTGTTTGTCTATCGAATAACTACTTCACCGGCAAAATCAACTCTTTCGATCTTGATATGTACAGGGTGAATCGAAAAATCTAAAATATCAATATTTTCCATTGAATAACTAACACCCTATATGAGATTTCGCGCTCAAATGTCGTATGGAGGTATTGCTTATATCGAATTGGAAAGTCACTGTTTCGAAAAAAAATTACCTAATAGTCGTTTTTGAAATTTTAATCTCTTCAACAAACAGAAGTAGGCCTTGAACATCTGAATATTTCAAATTTGTCCACATTTTTTAATAAAGCTCGTTGAGTAGCATATTATGGAATTTTTGTTTCTGAAAATCGGTCAACGGTTTCCCAATTAGGAGGGTGTTGCGGGTTGAAATCTCACACACTGTATATGAATATGCGTATAAATAACAGGAATTGAGATAATTTTCTAGGGAAACCAAAACTCAAAAATGTTTGAGACTAATTCAGACAATGGCAATTTAATGAAAACATAAATCACACTATTGTTGCGGTTTTATCCAATTTCTCCACTCGAAGACTCCAAATCGCGACATTTCCACAAATTAGTTACTTTACTGACATCGCAAGATTGAGAATAATAGACATAAACGCCATCAAGATTAGTTCACAATATTTCTGGTTGTGATGGTTTCAAATGTTGTCTTGTCGCGAAAACGTAGGACAAAGTTTTTTCACTCATTTCAATGGGAATTTTGTTGCCTGGAAATTGAACGAAGAAAATTGCCTTCGAAAGCATTACGAGACTGTAGGACGAATAATTCTTTCTGGCAGTGTCTTGAGCTGAATTCCCTGAAGGCAATATAACTCGAATCGTTCAATTCGATCAAAAAATGCTTGAGTGTAATTCGGTAAGAAAATTTAAGGAGTGCGTAAATCACATCATTGTTGATGGAATTTTCAATTCCTCCACTCCAAATCGTGGAAGGCAAGATTGGGAAAGATTGACATAAACGCCATCAAAGATTTGTTCACAATTCTAGTTGTCATGTTTCCGAAAGTAAGGTGTCGTTTTGTCCTATGTATCACTACAAGTGATATTATTTTGCAGAAAATATTCGGCGATTGTTAGGATCAACTTGTTGCCTAATAATTTCGCCGATTGACATTGTTTATCAAAACTTTCGAGTCGTAGGCGAGAAATTTTGGAATAATGTCATGAGCGAAATCAAAGCAGCAAGCTGAAGTATGTCAATACACGAATATTTTCAGGAAAAATAGTATCACGAGTTGTATTCGTATGAGTATTCCATGATTGAGCCAATAAACGAGCGGCTCGCGAGAGTTGCGCACACTGCATCGATCATTCTGGCTTCCAACATAATTGACGTTTCAAACGTTCAACATATTTTCGCTGAAAAACGAGAAAGGTTGGTCACGTGTGGCTCAATTCGACTTCAGTATTAGTAGAGCAAGTTCGATAAAATTCAACAAAGAAGAAAATATCGCTGTAATACAAAAGAAACCGTGAAAGTGGCCGATTCTGATTGATTCTAGAGACCAAGAGTGGAATAGTCGCTGGAAAACGGCTTATGGGATTTCCATATATTCAAAATGTTTCTATAGAAGTTACAAAATGAAATACTTACCCGAGGAAGTTTTTTCTTAGTATCGATGTGCAGTCCACCCACAGGAATGATATTAGGAGTCAGCGGTTGTGAATAGTGAAATCCTGGGCTCAAGTTACATAAAAGAAACGTTGCTTTCTTGACCAGAGCATCCAAACTTTGCGTGTTCTCTCCGAATACCGATTTTGACATCTGTTCCATGATAGGAAACGAGTAATAAGCTCTCCAATAAAGATCAATTCTGGAGAAGATAAAATTATGTAGCCTCTCCGAAAAATCCATTCTGGCTGAGTTCCGGAGCATTATATATGGTACATATGATACTGGAAAGCTGTTCCCAAATGTTTCCGACAAGGAAGGTGGTAGAATTAGAGCAGATATCACCACGGCAGGAGGTGTTTTAAATCTTTCGATTAACGGTAGGAGGCAAGGCGATATAGTAAGGTCTAATATAATTAGATCAAATTTGAAATCTTCAGGATAATTGATCAGCGTCTGCAGCCCTTTTGTGTGGAGGGTATAATTGCAAGACAGAAGAGATACTGCATTGTATAACTGGATATTTCGCAGTGCTGAGAGGTGTGACAGCGTATCAGGAAGATAGAAACCTGATCCTGTAGTCGCCTCAGTGAGTCCTGTAATAAATAGAAAATTCCTTAAATAAAAACAAAACCTTGGTCAAATTCTTGGTGGTGAATTCGTGATGACGACCGATACTAATTATGATATAAGAATGTGTGTCTTGGTTTATAAACAATACACTTATATACGAAGGTTTAATTTGTTTGTTTCTTGTATACTTTTGATTTGAAAATATCTACATATACAGGGTGTTTGAAAATTCGACCGACGAAGCTTGACAGGGAATAGCTCTTCTGATTTCATAATTCCTGATATAGGGACATACGGTCTTTAAGTGTTCAGTTCTCGAGATACAGGGTGCATGTTGAAGTTGGGATATAAAAATTAATAGTTTCTTCTCCGATTGACAGCAAATATTATAATTCTGCTGACGGTATCAATCAGCAAAGTATTACTTCTCCTACCTAGTCAGCAAAGTGACTATACTCTATGGGAATAAAACATTTGACGTAAACATTTATTAAAAATTATTACATAACACTTTTGAAAGTCTTCGCATTTTTCTCCATGCAATAATCCATAAATCGTCTATAATTTCCTTCATATTTCATCCGAGACTTCTCCGGCAACAAATTCAACTATATATTTTTTGCCACCTCCATTATATAATAATTTGAATATACCAATATTTTTTCGCACAACTGTCAGATATTTCATGAATTGTCAAATTATAGTTATTATTATGGACATTTCCATAGCAACCACCCATTGCAACAACTGCGATTTCTATCAAATTTCATTTTAATTGAACACTACAGGAAAAATAAAGAGATTATGGGAATTGTCAGAATTTGCAAATACAATATCCTCCTATATCATTATGAACAATCGGAGAAAAAATTATATGTTCAACTCGGCAGCAAAGTAGATTGACTGCCCTCGGCAGATTAGATTGAATTATCCGCTGAATTTGAGACATATCTGCTGTTTAAGCGATGTTCGGATTGGTGGATTAAAATACTATTCATTATCATCAATGATACTGAACAGGACCAAAGATATTTTTATGGATGATCTTCTTGTCAACCTGACGGGCAAGTAATCCCACCTTTACGAATTTTCCGATTAAAATTTAAAATTCTTTCTTCTTCTTGAAGTATTTTTTCAATAGCTTAAATTAATCAACACAGTCTAATTTTCAAATTTGAATTCAACAATTATTGTAGAAAAACTTTTCTTCAGTTTTTCTGATGTCCTTGTCCTTTTTCAATAGCTTAAAGCTGATTACTACGTGACGGTACTCACTGATGATGACTGTATAGCCGAAAGCGCTCTGCTCGAAGAAATGTAATATACAGGGTCGCTGATATTATGTATGGAAACAGGTGAATATCTCGGCAATCTGTTGTTAGATTTTTTCGAATTTATGTACAGTGTGATTTCAAAACGTGGCGGATTTGAAAATGTTATAGCCTCTGTTGCCACTTTTTCAGTTATTCCGGATTTTTAGTAACTTCCTTTTTTTGAATGAAACACCCTGTACTTTATTGGATTTCCAGATTCTTCTTGAAGAGCTGATTCCATCGATCTATCACACTTGGGGTCGAGCGGGAATGATTACATAGGTATAGGGTGTTTAAAATCTAGGTTTTTCATTTTCAAGAGTCTTTTGTGTAGAAACTATCCATTATCGATCAAAACCGCTTCAATGTTCCTATCTTCACTTTTGATTTACCATCTACTGACTATTTAATTGGAACAGATACAGAGGGTGATCAGAATTCTGAATCTTGAACCACCCTGTATTTGTTTCAATTAAATGTCAGTAGATAGTAAATCAGAAGTAAAGATGGGAACATTGGAGCGGTTTTGATCGATAATGAATAGTTTCGACACAAAAAAATACTAAAGTTGAAAAATCTAGATTTTAAACACCCTATACCTATGTAATCATTCCTGCTAGACCCCAAGTGTGATAGATCTATGGAATTAGCTCTTCAGGAAGAATCTGAAAATCCAATGAATTACAGGGTGTTCTATTCAAAATAAGGAAGTTAATGAAAAATCCGGTATAACTGAAAAAGTGGCAACAGTGGCTATAACATTTTCAAATCTGCCACGTTTTGAAATCACACAGTACATAAATTCAAAAAAATCCAACAACAGGTTACCGAGATATTCACCTGTTTCCATACATATCAGCGACCCATTACCCTAATAACACAATAATTATGTCCCATGGATATCCTCAGGACGTCCTGTCGGGACATTCAGGACGTCCATAGGAAGTTCGAATTTGGTACCGTGGACGTCCTTCGGACGTCTGTGGGGCGCACAAATGTCCCATTTGAGGACCAACTAGGGACGTCCTTGAGGGATGTCCCTGAGACAACTATCGAATACCTAAATCTTACAGTATTCCTCATCAAGCACTACGGAGGACATCCTTAGGACATCCGTAGGAAAACCTATCAGCATCGCTGAGGGATATCAATTGGATGTCCCAGGGACGTACGAATCATTCTTGAATTCGATTTTTTCTGGGTCCCTCTAGGACCAGATCTTGCATAACTGATGAGGACATCCAGTTGAGTTGATGGTCCGTAGAAGGTCCCCAATAGGTCCTGAAAAAAGTTCTCAAGGATGTCCAATGGACTTACGTGGAGGAAATTGACGGGGAGTATTTATAGCCTACGAGCAATCATTCGTCGGCAAGGTGTAAGTTAATGTTCACGCAGGGACAATAACATATTGAAAGTACCGGCTGGGACGTCCGTAGGACATTATTTCTAGGACATTGGAAGATTACAGTTCATGTATCAATTGTGACATTCGAAGGATGTCCCAAAGGGACATTTTGATTGTTATACGATCCTGGAAATATTAAGGGCGTCTGTGCAGAGATATTTGAAGGAATCTACCATCAGGGCCATTCCATAGTTGTCTAGGAGGGACATTATATAAGATACTACTCGGGACATCCGATGGATGTCCCTGGAAGGAACGTTTAAAATCATATCCCATTAGGGACATGCCAGATACGTCCTGGCATGGACATTCTACAATATGTACCACGTGGGACGTCTAAGGGATGCTATTTCTAGGACATTTCAAATGATGTACCTGCTGGGACATTCCGTGGACGTCAAACACTTATTTTGGGTCCGCGACATTCGGACTTGAATTGTACCAAATAGGGACGTCCCAAGGACGTTGTATGCTTTTAGGCTATTTTGCAGGAAATACAACATCATTTGTATATCTACATCTGCACGCAGCTAAGTAACCCTCGAATAATTATGTTGTATAAAACTGACAATTTATTATTGCTATCCATGGTTACATCGTTGAAAGTACCAACGCTGATAGGCTGATTAAAAGACAGCTAGTGTTTTTGCGATAACACAAATTGATTTTCGCTTGGGATTAGTTAGATTATCCCTAACAACACGGGATCTTGCTGGTACATCCCGCTAAGGTCCTACAAATGTCCCAATGTTTCAGACTTAGGTCCGATATCCCAGAGATGTTTCTCTTGGGACATCCAGCAGATGTTTTCATTGGATATTCTAGAAACATCCCATTTGATCTTTTTTTATAAACAATATCTGGAAATAGGTTGTCCATTTTCAGGATTTCAGATTGAAAATAATTCATACCGTGTCATCCATTACTGTCTTCAAACAAACAACATCCTAGAAGTACTCTGAATGTCTCTGGTACATCCTGTATCATCCCACAAACATTCTGATGGGATGTTTATAAGACATCGCAAATGCTGACAAGGGTGTTGCCAGCAACATCCCAAGAATGTCCCAAGGAAAATAGTGATTTTCCAGAGATGTTCCTATATATCATCTCATGTGGATGTTTCTACGACGTCTTACAGATGTTATTGTGTTATTAGGGATGTGCGAATTTTAAGAAAAGAAGAAAATTAAGCACAAGTTTCGGTTGAAATTATGAAGTATGTATTTCAAACTCAACTTGAATTAATTACTTAATTCCCTGTTTGGAGGAACTGATCGTGAAAAAAATACCAAGAACTGATTTTTGTAGATTATGAACCCAGGAATTGAAGTTGTACTTTCAATACCGTTGCAAATTGAAGTTCAAAATAGCAGCACTATATTGTCAAAGCATGAGTCTACTCGTAGGCTGATTCTATAACCTAGGCTTTTGAAATGTAATGTGTACTTACCTACCTTCCAATAGAATGAAGTGAAACTTTCTATTCTCTCTTGATATCGTCTTAGGTCCAATAACTGTTACATTGTGGCCCCTGGCTACTAAGGCATCGGCGATGGCATAGTTCCATATTTGATGACTCGGAGAGGCTAAATCTTCAGTGATAAGGATATTGGCACAAGATACTGAGGACACTGATGCATTTAGGAACAGAACAATGAATCCGATCAATTTGACGAAGACCATGTGATGATGCATGTTCAACTAACTAAGTCCAACAACCAACTATCATCAGTGAACTAATTTCTATAATAGGTAATACCTCCTCGCGTGAAGATGATGATTACGAAGCAAGGTCATATATCTAATCATAGTTATCTCTTGAATGAAACTGATGATAGTCAGAAATAGTTTTCGATAATAGAGCATATACTACTTATAAGAAACATAAAAAAGAAAAACGCGCAATCCTTCTGATAATTTTTGATGACTTTTGCAAGTCATCTACACATGTTTCCAAACCAGAGTCGGACTAGGTAAATATTATGACCTACGTAAAAACAACATAACAATGACCATTTCAGTTTGTAGGACAAATACGTATCAAGGCTAGGTATGTACCTATATTTTGACAGAAAATTACTAGTTTTTCACATGTGATGTGAAAACTGAGTAGTTAGATGAATGAATCATCTATACATCATTCTATTGAAACTCATATGTCTCGAGATCTATACAGAGTTGTTCCGAAATTGAAGCGATAATATGCGTGCCGTAAACCGGATAACTTTGTGACTTGGGTTGTACTTTTGAACACCTGGTATTTTCTGAGATAATTTATGAACATATATATATATACATATAGGAGCAGAAGGTTATAGTCTTTTGCTGACTAGTTGATTAAAAACTCTTAAATTATTTGGGACTGCAGTAAAACGAAGGTGTACTCTTATAACATTATATTTCCAATATTTCGACAATGAATATTGTAATCATCAGGGAGCTACAATTTATAAAAAACTTCTTTTAAAAATGGTTCTGTGAAATTATTAGTCAAATACTTACAATGTCAGGTCTCTCAAGTAATTTTCCAGAAAATATTCGTTTGAGGGAGAAGGTTCATTTAGGCCGGTTAGAATGTTTGGAAAAAGTTGTCTCATTACTTATGCAGAAGGGATATTTGCCTTCCTTCCTATTAGAGCAGTGCCTGAATCAGTGAGCTTTTTTGGCATCACTATTGGCTACACAGGCTCACAGATTTCAGCTTGCTGGTGCCGTCGTATGGGAAAGTGTGTAAATATGCGAACCAGCCTAGAAGATTCTTATTGTTTTATTTTTCTGCATTGCCCATCAATATCGCACAATTGACAATGCTTGCAGTCAACTCTGACCCGTCAGCGTATTTACTAACTATTATACTAGTACAGAACCATCCTGCTCTGAACAGTGGTATATACCATACCATTGTACACTTGTAAAGCACGGCTAGAATCTGGATGATAAAGTATATTTTAGTGAACCTGTGAACGTATCTCTTATCATTTCTATACATACTCGCGTTTATATTTCAATTTATTTACGCCGAAAGGAATATCAAACCTATAACACAGAGATTCATCAAGTCAAGTAGCTTGATATTTTAACAAACTACTTGACTTGACTTGAAAATCAAGCTCGTGGCAAATTACGTACTTGACTTGACTTGAATTTGAGATATTTATTACTTGACTTGAAATCAAGCTACTTGATAATACCTACTTGATCTTGATACGCACGAGTCACACGGCGACTATTTCTGCAAGGTCGCTCACGCTTAGACAAAATACGGGGGTTCCCCGAGATCCGAGCTGACTGAATCGATCGCGCAGTCAGTCTTACGATGCCATTTTCATTTCATCAGTTATATACAGGGTCTCACGGTCGATGGTAGGTTAGACGTTCACGTTTATGATAGGAACGCAACGCAGGATTTTTCTGAAAATTTCGCATCTCACATTTCATCACCGGTACTATCGATCTAATATATTTTCAAAATCACGACGTTGCCGCTTCTATAGAAAAGTAGGAACCACTTTGTTATTTCGAATTGAACACCCTGTATTTTATTGCATTTTCAGATTCTCCTTGAAGAGTTGATTTCATCGATACATCACACTCGGGGTAAAGCGGAAAAGATTATGGAGATATAGAGTGCGAAAAATCGAGATTTTTCAACTTCAGGAATTTTTTGTGTATGCGAAATTTTCAGAAAAATCCCGCGTCGCGTTCTCCATGAAATTCTAACCTATAACATCGACCGTGAGTCACGCTGTATAGATACACAATAAAACTGCTGAAAATCAAGTAGCTTGATAGAACTATACTTGATTTTTCAAGTACTTGATAAATAATTACTTGACTTGACATTAAAAAACTTTCGCTTGACTTGAACTTGACTTGATTTCAAGTCAAGTCAAGTCAAGTAGCTTGAATATCAAGTCAAGCCGTGAATCTCTGCTATAACAAGATAGAGGTCACTCTATTTTTTTCCGTGTTGATTACACAGTAGTGTAGGTATTCAGAGATTTTCAGATTTGATAGACAAAAAGCTTCATAACTATCGATAGCCCTCGTAATATGATCTCAACTCAGTTAAAGGTCATGTGTTTTCTAAACGAAACTGATCAGTGAATTTTTATATATTGAAAATAAAAATTTCCCAAGCAAACAGAACAATAGAAGGAATTTCCACGACCCCCTGATGTGATGTGACGCGTTGATGAATGAAATGACCAAAGTATGTAGCAATCGATGGATTGTTCTGAATTTTTTATATGAAAATTATTCACCAATTTTGATGTCGAACATATCAGTCGATATTGAAGCATTTTGAATTAATACAACAACCTGCTACATGTTTTTCCACCAAACCAAGGGCACTATTACTCTTGAAATGTTGTCAGTTGAATTGTGTACTGTGCTCCGCATGGTATCTATACTATACATTCAGGAACTCATAAAAGCGTTTTTATTTCGAGGTGGTTGGACTCCTTTATGGACATCATATGGGTCTAATCCCCCATATGATAGTGTGGGAGTCCCCTGACTGAAAGAGTTTACCCACCAATCACCCCACCCCACTTGTAGCTCGTCTGACCAATGTCTGCGACGACACTTAGGCCTAGTTGCACACTCCATTATCTCTGTACCTCGAACAAGTGTGTACAAATCCTTCAGTCTTCACTGAATGTGAGTTGAATACTTCTGATCCGCCAACTCGTTGCCAAAGAATCTTCTGTCTTTTGCGGTCCGATGCCTTGCATCTGCACAGTATATGTGATACTGTTTCTGGTTCCTTTCCGTATAGTCTGCAGCTTGGGTCGCCATTATAAAGTCCCATTCTGGTGAGGTGCTCCTTTACTGGCGCATGGCCAGTCATGAGTCCTGTAACAGTTTTTATCTGTACTCTGGTCAAGTTGAGCAGGTCTACAGTTCGTTTATGACTCGGTTCTTCAATGTATTGTTTCCCATGTATGTTTCTTGGGATGTTCTCTCGGTAGCTCTTATGTTTCTCCTGATCCAGACTAACACTCGTGCTGATACTTTTTGGTACCTACTCCAAGAGTCGATGGGATATGGAGTGGATGGTTATTCGACCTTCTTCTTGCAAGATCGTCAGCCTTACCATTGCCAGTGATCCCCTGATGTCCTGGAACCCAGATTAGCTTGACACAGTTCTGGTCTGCCAAAGTTCCCAGTTCCCTCTTGCAAATCCATACAATTAATAATCAAATCAGCTCTTAGCTTCTCCGCCCAAGAGCTAATTTGATTATCAATTTAATTTAGTTGGTTCAAGAAGTAGTTCTCAAAGAATAATGTTTGTTCATATTGCCAAAGACACGAAGGCTGTGTTAGTGTCGGCATTTGCGGAGTGCTACAATTTCGAGCGACTTTAGTCTTTTGTGCTATGCACTTTTGACTTTTGTCTTTGCTCAAAACTATTCTGTAAATCCATACAAGTCGAGATGTCACTTCCTGGCTATCTATTGCCTTCACTGCCGCTTGACTGTCTTACATAATGCGAATATGTTCATTTTTCACGGCTCTCCTCTTCCGCACATTGGAGAATTGCGTACTCACACCTCTGCTCTAGAAACTGAGGAATACTTCCCCAATAAGTAGCTGAGGCGGGTCTCCGGATTTTTGGAGTATACTCCTGCTCCTGACCCATTTGCAGTCTTGGACCCGTCTGTATACCAGATCTCTGACACTCTGAATGAAGTGTCAGTCCCAAAAGCGTAGGTATAACACATTCACTAAACATATACTACCATCCAGACCCTAGCTGCGCTGTACGGTATGGTTACAAATCCCATAAATGTGTTTTTTTCGTGTTTCAAAGTGATCTGCAGGTTGGGTCCGCAATGAAGAATGATAAGTAGATATCAAGCAACCGGGTATCACAATATCTACATCCCAATGTGGCATTCCATATGGGTTACCATCACCAAAATAACGTGTCCTAGAGTAGAGATATTCCTTGGATGTTTCGGGAACGTACTATAGGGATGACCAAAGGACAATAATCCCTTGTATACTAAGGACACCAGTATGTGTTCAAATTCAAAACTTGTAGGTATCAGAATTCTCTAATAAATATACCTATGCTTCAATAAGAATAATAATAAAATCGGTCTTGAATTTATTGATCAATATTTCAATATCAACATTTCGAATGGATCGATTATTCGAGTGTATATACATCTATGACTGATCATTATCAATTCATTTTCACTTTTTTCTGCTTCCAATTATTCACAAGTATCCATAAGACCGACAATACTTTCGATAAAGAGTACAAAAATATGCAAAGTATCAATAAAAAAAATAGGTAAATGTCAAATGAAGACGAAATGAAACCCGAAATGTGCCTTGATTGAGGATCATAAATGTTGGTGCCGTTGTTCCGCATCGCGAATTCAATCCAAAATAACGCTCGCTCCATTGAAGTTTGTGGTTGATCCCTCATTAATGAAGATATTCTTCTCGCATTCTTGAGATACCTAAAACAATTCAAATTGTAGTAGTGAAAATACATTCCTCGAACCAAAGAAACAATTTGTAGTTAGTGATACGGTACATAATCCACCCCAGTACAAGGAAGAGGTTTTATACCGAGCGGCTGGTATTATTAGTTTAGAAGTAAAAGGTTCAAAAAACACAAAAGCATCTCCACAACGGTTCATTTTCCTAATATTATTTAGGAAACATGGTTCGGATTGTCATGTGTCCATCATCAGCATAAAATCCTTACGAACTAATGATCGTGGAAATAAAACAAACATGAACAAATCATTGATCCAAATTCTTGTGTAAAGCACAGGTTGAAGTGTCAGGTTATTGTAAAGGGCCATGTACCGAAAATCGCTGATGAAGTCAAATGATACTCAAAACAGATAACCTATTCTTACATCATCAGATGATAGAGGGTGAGTGATCGAGCTACATGGATGGCAGTATAAACAAAATCGACGCCAGCGAAGTCTCTAATATGACGTACATCGTACATTTCAGGTAAGATTCACGTCTTCACATCCCACAAAAATGTACGTATTCGAGACGTATGAAATGGGCTTGTATCACAAAAAATTTTTATTTCATAATTCGATAGAACTCACCCAAAATAGCTCACCACCGCAAACCGTTTCTGGCTGTGAGCTCCCTACGTTTTATAAAAAATTATTGAAATCCCCGATTTTTCGGACCTCTGAAAACGAGGCGATGATGTGACGTCAAAACCCTAATACTGAAACAAGACTATTCCAGACAGAGATGAATGATACATGATTTCTAACAGAGTGAATTAGCTCGAGATCACAGTTGAAAGAATAATTAAATCAGTTGCCTCAGTCTCCGTCGGGTTTTTGGTATTTTCTTTTAACTATGGCGAGATGAGGTTTCTACGTCATAAGGGGGTCCGTTTTCAGAAGGTACTATTATTAATGCCAAAAATGAAACATTCCAGTTAATTTTTCGATCGAATTATGTCGTCAATCATTATTTATGTATAAAAGGATCATTTTAAACATGGTTTGAGTTAAAAGTTCTACTAAGGTGTACATGCCCATAAGTTACTTACTGCACCTTACTGGGAACTGGGCATTGCCATATGAACCCTTTCCTTCTTCAAGTTGCCGAATATACTACATGGTTTTTGGATATATGACAAATTGATATTCATCACACAGGACGTTATATTTATTTCATGATCATATTATCTATCAGATTTGAGAGATTGTCAATTCTCAATTTCAAAGGATATTTATTCTTCATGCTCTCCTTCTGGATACTCAACAGATATAATTCAATGTTCGTCGTGGCATATAGCCAGGGCCTACTCTGAGTGGTTGTTTTCTGTTGAATAAACCGAGAAAGGATCGATATTTTTATGACATTGAGAATGCGAATTATCAATGTAATTCTTTATATATAGGTATATACGTTTTTTCATGTTCATAATTTATCTGAGAATATTCCTTTTCAATACTACATAGTGCTATGAATAGTATATATATACACTGATCAGTCGTAATTCTTGTAACCTTTGTGGATTATCTGATCCACCAGTTTTACTTTTGATTCCTTTTACTATGTTGAGAATATCAGTTTCAGATACTGGTTGAAACGTGAGGGTTGTATGTACCGATTTTTTGATATTATATTCCGTGTCCTCATCAGGAGTCATTTTGGGAACATCGTTCAAAAATTGATTTCATTGACATTCCATTTATTTGATAAATCGATATAATAATAATAATAATAATAATATCGTTCATTGTGCACAACAATGTTACACACAAAAAGCAGGGGTTAGCCTATGGCTATCTACCTCCTCCCTTTAAAATTCAATTTCACAACTGAGTATTTATAATCGAACATTCTCCCTGTAATGACTGATATTGGCTTAAAGGTTGGCTTATAAAACTGTAGCTTATAATGTCTAAAATAAAGACTATATTTTTTAACGATTATTATATTAATCGAAAATTAACAACTGAATTATTGATTCAACTCCTCGTTAACAACATATTCTGTATACAGGGTAAACTGATATACAGGATGTAAAGTAAACTACCCAACATTCTCCCCCTCGTATGATTACTGAATCATACAGGATCTTCGTCATCAGCAATCTTCAGTCTGCATAACTTTGCTACAGGCCTCTTGTAGATAGTGTTGTTGATTTTCACATCAACAACCCTGGTTTGTCCGTCTCTTCCGGGATATAATTTGGTTACGATGCCCATGTGCCATGTGTTTCGTGGTGCGTTATTATCGACGACCAGAACTAGTTCACCCAATTTAATTGGTTCAACATTTGAATCATACCATTTCGTCCTTTTCATTAACTCTGGTAAATATTCTTGCACCCACCTCTTCCAAAACATATTTGTTAATTGTTGAGCAACTCTCCGTTGTCTTTGCAATGACACATGTTTTTCTTCAAATACTCCTGGCGACTCTGTCCGATTATTTGTCCCTATTAAAAAATGGTTCGGTGTCAAGCACTCCATGTCTTTAGGATTCAAAGATACATGAGTTAATGGTCTCGAGTTTACGATATTTTCGGCTTCTACTAATAAAGTTTTCAATATTTCTTCTTTCGGTGCTCTCTCTGTTAAAACTGCATGCAAAGAAGTTTTTATAGATCTGACCAATCGCTCCCAGCTGCCGCCCATGTGTGGTGAAGCTGGTGGTATGAAATGCCATGTGATATGTCTATTAGTCAGTGCTTCGCCTATTTTTGTATCATTCAACTCCTTCAATGCTTGCTTCAACTCTTTCTCGGCTGCTTTAAGGTTAGTACCATTATCAGAATAAATGTGCATTGGCTTGCCTCGCCTGGAAATCATTCGCCTTATCGCAAGAATAGCTGAATTAGTGTCCAAACTATTTGCTAGCTCGATATGTACTGCTCTAGTTGTCAAACAAGTGAAGAGTACACCATAGCGTTTTTCTCGCTTTCTTCCCACGGTCACTTCAAGGGGCCCAAAATAGTCCATTCCAGTGTATGTGAATGGTAGTTCGTATGCTGCTCACCTACACTTTGGTAACTCACTCATGATGGGAATTTCTGGTTTTGTTTTGTGTTGGTAAAGATAAATCTTGAACAGTTCTTACGTTATTCCTTATGAAGGTTTTGCTGTCTTTCATTATTCCTGATATTTTGAGACTAACAATTTCGGATCTATCTAGGTAGTTGGATAGATTGTTAGTGCAAAACTACCCAACACTCCCAACTATATATTGTTTAGTATTTAGTAAAAAAGTGCAGTCAATATTCTCAATTTGTACATCATTATGATCTTCTTTGAATTCCACAACCGTCTTAAGACTAGACCAAATGTCGACTATTTTTTGACAAGCATTCTCTGAAAAAAGGATGTTTCGACGAATCGTGAGAACATTGAAGCATGTATTGATTTGTTCCAGAATTGTCTCAGAAATCCAAAAATGTTGCAATATACCTGGGGCTCCATTTAAAAGTTCAAAACCGGAACCATTTCTACCTGAAGTGACCGAGAAGCGAGCCGAGATGTGAAAAACATGCAGAAACTCTCCTCTTCACATTGCATTTGAATATTCCAAATTTCGATACATCCAATACCCGGTGAATACAGGGTGCCCGGAAAGGTCATGTCGTAAATGATAGGGCTGAGAGAGTGAGCCAAAAGTGTCTATCGCAGTGTGATTAAAAAAAATATATTACATGTATAACTTTTGATTCGTTGCCATGGTATCAATGATATTCGAAAATATAAATCAATTCATATTAATGCCCCTTTCGATGTGTTAACGACTGTTCAGTGATTATGTTTTTCATACAGAATGGGACAATTTTTTTCCGTTTGATGGAGGCATTTTTGACAGAGGTGACGAATTTTATATTTTGCTTCCATCGTTTGATTCCTTCATTTTTTTTTCAAAAATGGTTTTATTTAGTTCAATCGATATCTTTGTTATACCTTTCAAGAGAAATTCGCATTTTAAAATCATACGACATCCCAACCGTAACAAACGCAATAAAAACTCTATTTATTTATAACTTTTCATGGTAGTTGCAGTCATTGTCAGAATTGACATCAAATTATTCCGACAGTATTTAATACTTTGGTAACATCATGGATAAGTTTAGTAATAATGATGAGTATATATGCATTAATTAATTGAGTGCCTATACAAGGTGTTAATACTCGGCTGATTTCGAGGAAGAAATTTCAAATCAACATATATTATGTCCTAAACCTCTTAGTTTTGGAGCTACAGGGTGTTAAAATCAGACTTGTACAATGTACAGTATTTATTAAAATAAAATTATTCAATATCAGGCCTACGTGAACATCACGACTGGTATACGTGCAAAATTAATTTTTGTCCCACAACAAAATGTGTTTCCACGTATAGTGGGTGCCTACTAAATTTTAACAAAATACGAAAAACAATGTCAATGAACTGAAGAAACAAAATGTTTCAGTTTTCATTTTTTCCCGCGAAAACTCTAGGTCGTATGAAAGTGAGTTTGGAAGCCAACTTTGCTGCAAAATAGATATTTATTTCAAAAATGATTATGGTCTCCAGAAAAATCGGTGACGTAACATTTTTTTCATAAAAAGTTTGTCACTTCGAACGCCGACGTCACTGCTGAAAATTTTGAGAAATATTCCACGTCAAAAAATGCCCCTCAATAATGAGAAGGTGTGTACGAAATTTCATAAAAATTGCTGAGAGTGATAAAGATTTATGATAAAGAACTCACTTTTTTTTACAATTTTAGCACCCTGTAGCTCGAAAACTAAGAAGTTTGAGACATATATTGATATGAAGTTTCCTCCTCAAGATCACCCGAAGATGTACAACTTGTATTATCGGCACTCAATTAATCAACACCCTGTATGAATGGACTTTCAAGGTCAATAGCAGGAAGTGCGAGAAACATCTTCTAGTTCTAACAGAATACATATATTATTATTATTATGCCCTATCATTTTCGACAAGACCTTTCACAGGGTGAGTCATAACTATTGGGACATAGGCTAAGGACGGATTGTTCGGACCAAAACATAGCAATAGGATCGAAAATGCCTCAATAGGATATTGCTGTGAAAAAAGATACAGGGTGTTTCAGTAGAAGAAGTATTGACTACAAAACTCGCACCAAAATTTATTTACTGACAAGAAATATCATCAACCAGCAACAATTATCTGACAGTCCAAAGAACACTTTTCACGAATAAAATAATATTCGGAATCTCCTTCAGAGTCTTTGATCTATTCAATTGCGTTCTTCTCGAAAACGGATGATGAAAATTTCGTGTTTGAACAGGAGCACCAATATATCGTAGAAATAATGTTTATGTCATATTTTCTAATCAAAATATTGTCAAAATAAGTTACCAGTCGATTTCATTTTCTAGAATCATTCAAGTGACGCTCCCTGTAACAAACTGTAGAATAATACATAAAATAATATCCCGTGTATGGAATTATGTCACTGTGTCAATTATTAGAGAAAAAACGAAAAAAAAATCAACTTCAACGACCTGTATCATATTTTAATCCAAACAATCCGTCCATAACCTATGAGTGAAAATTTTCTGATCATGCCTTCTAGAGGCACCCTTTATAATATTATAACGGGAAATATGACCTAAAATACAATATGTCGGAAATGTAGGTAATAATACATACTTTGGGTTTGTTAAAACGTTGTTGACTGCTTCCACCAAACTTTCTGAAGTCAAAGTTTCATAATCCAACGTGACTCCTATTTCTCTAGTTTCAACCAGTTCCATATTAGAATATTGGTCTACGAAAAATGGGATACCCACCATCGGTATTCCATAAAAAGCCGCCTCAATTGTACTCAAACCACCTCCGTGAGTAATGAATAATTTCAAATTCGGATGAGCTGTAATATAAAAAAAATAATTTGTTGAAATCATTCTATTCATTTTTGTATCGAGCACCCAGTATACCGCACTCGGGTAACATCGCGTTATTCCAATATTTCTAAATGAGCATCCGATATTTCGGTCGATTGTGATGCTGCCAGACGCTTGATACTAGTCCTGCGGAATTTTGAATTAGCAAACGTAATTATTTATGAGGAAACAATGAAGAGGAATATCCTTTCTCAACAATCATACCAAAATTGGCCTAGAAGAACCTTCTTCCTGAAAAGTATATTCTCCAGAAAATTACCAGAAAAAATAAGAGAGACTACTTCTCAACAATCTAACCTAACAAGGCCAGAATGAACCTCCTTTCTATGAAGTATTTTTTTCTGAAAATTACTTGGGACAACGAAATATACAATAAAACAAACTGAACCTCGTGAGGACTGAACTCGAGCCCTTACGCATGGGAGTCAAACACTTTATTCGCTGTGGCGAAAGCTCGAAATTTTTTTCTGGAAAGAGAGAAATGCAAGAAATACTTTAGTCAATCAGAGTATGGTAATCAAGCGTTGTCGTACCACCGAGCGCTCGAAATTTAGCGAGATCGGATGAACGAGTGTGGTCTCCTGGGTGCTCGATACAAAAGGCAATTTCCATATGACTGTGTGGGTAACACTGGAGCTACTCCAGAACAAGGAAATGGGAAGGAACGCATTCTTTTTGGTAAGTGCTTGATGTCCCTGTGCTTCACCGTGCTATACCATCTACCTTCCCCCACCCCTCTGTAACTGTTAATTGACAAGCTGTTTGGCTATGTTCAATGATTATTCTCTATTTTCATTTATGAAAATAGATCAACTCACCATTATATAACTTGCACGTCTCCAGAATCAGACGTTATCAAAATTAATTGACTATATTTCAATATTTTTTATTATCATTATACCGAAGTTAGTCGGCTCACAGAATAGTCTACTGTGAGACTTTTACATGAAGGGGAATATCACTCCTCCTTGCGGGCAGCCTCTGCTTGTTTAGACGGAGACGGTCTCGTGCCCAACCTTCATTTCTGCAATTCTTGTAGAAAGCTGTTGGAATATCAATCAAGATGTTGTTCCACTCACTTCTATGGCTTCTAGTGCTCTTTTGACATCTCTATAAGAAGTATTGTAGAAGCTCCTTTTCTCTACTGTTTCTCCTACTCTGCATCCTGGATGCTATTTGTCACCTGAACCAGTGCGATTTCTGTAGATTTACCCGCTTGATACGCATGCTGTGGAGAAGCACCCTCCACAAGATCTTTGTTTTCAAATAATTATGTAGTCTTTTATATCGTTTTCGGGACATATGTGAGGCTGATTGATCTGAAAGACTTCTGTGAAGTCCTTCTTCCCTACTTTGGGAATAAAGGTGTATTTCGCTGATCTCCATGTATTTGGTATAAAGCTAAGTTGTAGGCTGCTTCGAATCAAGTATATGAGACAGAATTTCTTTTTGCCCCTGCTGAAGTAGGGCCGGATATATTTCACGTTCTCCAGGAGATTTGAACGGATGAAATGTGTTCAGTGCCCATTCCAATCGTTTTCTGCTGTTTTCTGTTTTGAGGTTACTATTGCCTCCCTTGTAGGCTTGCCTTTTCTCTCACTGGTATATTTCCCGTGTTAACGGGTATACATCCGAGAAAGTGAGTTTCGAGTAGAAGCTTGGCTCTATCTTCCCCACTTTCCATAGAGCTGTCATCTCGATTTTTCAAGGTCATCGCTGTTTCCACTGTTTTCTTAGTCATAACCTTGTAAGGCCTGCCCGCTGCTGAAGAGGAATTGAATTCTTCGCAAAAGTTTCCAAAGCTGTTCGTTCCAGCTTTCTTATTTCCTCATGGTTCGAACATCGGTGTATTTCTGCCAATCTTCGTTTTGCTTTGTTTTGCCTTATTAAAGGTTTTGTGCCCTGCGGATCTAAGTTCAAACAGATGGTTATTTCACCAAAGAGCGCGGCCCCTACATTCGTTTGTTTGAATGGAATAACTCGATTCAAATGCATCGATTACTACCTCGTTCACATTTTTTAGGTCGCTCTCCAGCTCAAGTTGGTATCTTGTTCTTCTACTTGGCTGAATACGCGCTAAATTCAGTTTCAGATTGGTGTTATATTTTTTTCTGAATAGTCTCGCTTTCCAGCGTGAACACAATTATCCTGTGATCAGGTAACGATGGTTTTCTCAAAACTCTCTAGTTTTCCGTTAGATCTACTGAGTTCGCCAAGTTAGGTGTACTAAGAGTGATGTCTAAAACCTGACTTCCCACCCTTGTCACGATAGTGGAACTATCATCTCTATTGAGTATACTAAGACTTCCATTGAGAATGTATTCTGAAAGTTGCCCACCACTTTGGTTGATGTCGTTGATTCCAAAAACAAGGTTGTGTGCGATGGCATCGGATCATAGGAGTAGTGGCAGGTTTTTCGCTGGCAATACTCCACAGGACCAACTCCGACAAAGTGGTAAGAGACTAATACTATTGGTCGACGCTCCTTTTTCGATTCGAGCTCTGCTCGTATATGGGGACATGGTCACGCGTCATGTATTCTGAAAGACAAGAATAATTAATGATTCTCCTCACAGTAATAGATGCTCTTGGCGATCTATCAATGATGTGATAGATCTCTTCCATATCTCCACTATTGAATCCTTTGACCTGGTTCTTATATACTGATGGATCTTGTATGAGTACGATCCCCATTTTGTTATGTATGCACGTCCTGGAGATCACCGCCGAGGCACCCTTGACGTGGTGGACGTTCACTTGGGCTATGTCTGCCCGCCATTTCAGGAAGATTCAATGAGGGTATTGTCCTCACTGATGAAGGGGCTGTCTCTTTCTTCATTCTTTATTCTCCTCGACCTTCATCTTCTTATGGGAGTCGCCGTAGAGAGCTGGTTGTGTTTCTTGATTTTTTTGTATATTTTTTCTCCATAGTTGATTACACGAGTAGCTAAGAAAGTGTTGTCTGCCTATTCAGAGCGCCGCATGAAGTGGTTAGGCTGGGTACAATGGGGTTTCGCCTGGAGCCCCCAGGGGAACGTTTGCGACCACATTGAACTAGTGGTCATCCAGCCCTCGGCACGTTACCTTACATCTTGGCTTGGTGTAATGGTCCACGGCAATAGTTTCCACAAGAGATCATAGGCGTTTTATGTCCCTTGAGACTTATAGCTGTCGCTAATCAAGATCCTGTGCAGGTTCCTGACCAATGACCATCCTCCTATTTGCCATCTGGAAACGCGCCTCGTAGGTAGCCTAACCGCCAGACCGAGATGCCCATACTAGCCCTCTGTATCTTTCACACCAGGCAGAGGTATACGCCATTGAAATGTGTGCAAGGGAGCTGGAAAATCGAAACCACACACAAAAAACAATAACGATATTCTCAGATAGTCACTTGAATCCAACTGCTTTAAATCCAGAGCAGTATGGAACTGCAGAGAAACCTTAAACCGACTGGCACAACGCAATAAAGTCAACCTAGTCTGACACGGGTCTAGAAGGGAACGAAATAGCGGACGTCCTAGCAGAAGGAGGTGGCCGAAACTCCGTTCACTGGGCCCGAACCGGTAATCGGTATATAGCACATATAGCACGGCCAAGAATGTTATAACATCCTGGGCCGACAACAAAAGACTCGAGAATTGGCGTAGTCTACCGGGTCTAGCCCATTCCAAAGCATGCATTGCTTGTACAAGGAACAAACAGGACTCTGCAAAAATACTAAAACTCAGTAGAGCACATCACAGAGTTATAGTAGGTTCGATCACTGGCCACTGCAAACTCAAACACCACATGCACAAAATCGGACTTGCACAAGATACAGAGTGCCGTCTATGCATGAAGGAGGATGAAACGGGTAAACACATTTTATGTTCATGCCCTGCAGCGGCCAGAATCAGGTTTTCAACATTTGGCAATACAACAGTAGGGCCAGAAATCCTGATATCCTTCTGCAGTGGGGGGCCTGACATGGGCCCACTCACGTTTGACCTAACCTAACCTATCTTTTACACAGTGTATAGTTTTGTTTGGTACACAAACATGTATATCGACTCGTTCAGATCAATCAAAACTATTAAATCCGAACCACCCGGCTAAGCGTTTTTCGAAGAAAAAAAACGTTTCTGATTTTGGAGACATTTATGTTTGAGTTGGTAGGTGAGTTAGCATGACTTTTAGTTCCCAAGACAAGCTCATGGCTTGATCATTATACAAAGAAAAACAGAAGTTACTCTTCCACCCTCAATTTCTCAACGCCCTGTGACGAAAGTGAGTGGTTAAACTTAGCTTCGTTATGTTTTGTATTGAAGTGTGATTCTTTCTGAGCAGATCAGTTTTTTTTTACTAACATCAATATCTTCTTCCCAAGAAGATATAAGTGTTATAAGAAAGTATGGATTCGTTTTATTTTCATCAAGAATTTTATTTTTTTCTTGGAGCGCAATATTAACTACTTACCGAGTATTTCAGTCTGCGGTGTCCATTTCCTGATAATCACGTTTTTTGGATAATTTGTTATATTAGATTCGAATTTCCATAAGACTGTTTGATTCATCTTACTAAAAGCCTTCAGAATGTTGTTTCTCTTTTCGGAGCTCATTTTATCGGATCTCACGTTAGTTCCTAAGGAAAATAATATGACCCCGTTTTTTGCAGAGTCCATGATATCTTGCAAATCCTGAAAAATATATTTTCAAATCATTATATTTATATTTCTTCCAATTGATTCTATGGTGTTATTCACACCAAATGCGTTTCAGTTGAGATTGCAACTCCTAAAGTGGCGAATGGAGTTAGTGACAAGACCTGCATAGAACAAGTCTTCTAGAAAACTGAAGGCGATCCCGATTGAAGTCGATGGCCAGTTGGTAGTTATACCATCGATCAGAGTACGTAGGTACACTTACATATATGACTATAATTACATACAGGGTGCCCGTTTTTCGAGCTTCACCATGGGGATCTCAGTTATTATAAGTGATACGAGGTTGGTTATAGCAAAGTCGCGCATTTTCATGCTGAACATTCATCTGCAGGAAAATTGGATGTGTCATTCTTAGTTTTTGAATCAATCGAAGAAAACGAAAATTTGAAAATTTTCGATTCTATATTTTCAAGTGAACACCAGAAAACCTAGTCGTTCCTGACTAGGACATTCTCGAGGCACCTTTTTACAAGGAACACTCAACTTTGTTTTTTTTTATGGGCGCCATATCGGATTTTTTCATTTTTGAAAAAATTGGCAAAAAACCATTGTTGCGAAAGGTGCTTTGGAAGGAACACCAACAGTTTTGTTTTACAAAATAATAAAATAACTGAATCTTGATAGTTCATCCACATAATGCAAGAAGGGTTGCCGAGTGTCTGTCATATATGTTTCCTGACAAGGAGATTTCCAACAACGGAGACATACAGTCGCATTAAAAAAAAGCGTAGAAGTATATTACAGAGAGAAATTAACGTCATCCTATTCTGCATAAAACGGGCTATCGGGAATGATTGTTCACCAAATGTTGACAGTAAAGTTGTCATAGGTTCTCGAAAACACAAAGCATTGGCTGAGCCAGTCTTACACAACTAGAACTAGGATCCCGAAATCCTCTCTTTTTAATACTTGTACGCTTTTTTATTGAATACGACTGTACGTTGGCCAGCGCGGTTACCTGATCCCTCTCCGCTGGATTATTATTTATTGGGAACTATGACAGATTTGATTTTCGAAACTATACCGATCGATATTGATGAACTGAAAAGAACCATAATCACCACTTTCAGGACTAAGATAAGAAGACGGGACATCTCGCGCGAGCAATTCAGAAACTGAGGAAACGCGTAGAATTGGGTTTAGAATTGTTTTCACAAAAATGTGAACGTTCCAGATCCAAATTCAAATAAACTGTCGAAATTCAGCTTGTTAACAAAACTGTCGAAATTCAGCTTGTTGAACAGAACTGTCGTTCTTTCCAAAGCACTCTTCGCAAAAATGTTATTTCCCAATTTTGATCAACAGGAAAGATTCGATCATATAGTATGATATATCGTTGTTATCAGAAAAAAAAATTTTTGAAAAATCAAGAAATCCAATGTGGCGCCTGTGAGAAAAAACAAAGTTGTGTGTTTCAACTTTGGCATCAAGAACGTCATGGAAAATACTATGACAGATTCAGATTCCTTGTGAAAAAGTGCCTTTCGAATGTCCCAGTCAGAAACTTCTAGGTCTTTCGGTTTCCGCTTGAAAAGATGAAAACGAAAATTATAATTTTTTTTTCTCCCAATAATTCTAGAACTAAAAATGGCATATCAAATTTTCTAGCAGATAAATATTCAGCATAAAAATGCGCAACTTTGCCCTAATTCAACCGACCTCGTATCTCTTATAATAACGGCGATCTCACTGGTGGATTCAGAAGAAAATTATATTTTCAGCGAAAATGTACGAATAAAATATGATGACATTAGGTTCGTGATGATTTTTTTATATATACTATATAAACTAAGTGCTGGAGCGAAAAGTGTTGTATGAAACTTAATGACACAAAGAATCGCAAAAAATACGAGCATTTAAAAAAAACTGCATGCTCTCAGCATAACACATATTTTAACTATCATTGAATGTCCAGCAGCATTGCAAAATTATTCTTGTGATATGCATGTGACATCGTTGAGAGCAAAACGCTTCGGTTCGGCTGTTGACCTCTAATCAGACGATTTACAAAAATTCTAGTCAAACTTCGAAATTCAATACCATCCAAGTTATATTTGATTCGAAAAAAATGCACTTTTATTTTGTTCTTGTCTTTTATTCCTTCATCATACCCCTTATTTCTTGTTCTGATTTGTAACATTCATGCGATTATTCCATATATCGATCAATACTCTTTTAAATATAAATTGTGAAAAAAGAATATCAGATTCAAATTATCAATAAAATAACCACGAATAGCTACCTACTAACACAAAAAACTTGAGATCCAGTTTGAGTAGCATTCCGAAATCTCATTGTCTCATTGACCACAATGAATCACGTGATATGGCATGAACGCATGCGCATTCCTTTGCAAAAAAATACCACTGAACACAGTGGGCTGCAGCCAAGCTATTATCAGACCAGGGTACAGCTTCCTGACCATTGGCCTTCACAGTTTTTTTTTTAAGTACTTACTAATACTATCGAATAACACAAAATAAATCCCAATATTATATCACGTGATGGAATCCTGCCTGAAATGCTGGCTCTTCCCAGGAAACGACGTACTTATACTATTACTACGAAATCTGTACATATCTACTATTTTATGTTCACTGACAATGACCTTTCGGTTGAATTTTTCTTCACAGATGATGGGGGAATAGAAAAGTATTCCCCGCAAGATCTTATGATCTTATTCATTCATTCAGTACATTATTTTGATCCACAATGTATAACAATCATTCTCAAACAGTTTTCGTCAGGTAAACCAACGGACCGATTCTGAAATATTTTATTTCATTCATGTTGAACCTATATACCTCACTTTTCGAACAACAACACATAATATGTGGAGTATTATTATTTTACTCAAACAGGTTTTACATTCAATTTGTTTTGGCACACTATAATAGTTGTCGATCATTCCTTGCCAAGTCGCCTTAAAAAATGGATATTCATCATCAGAGATGTGATAACTACTAAAATATCTACCTCATTTTATGTTATTATCTTCTGTGAGATCAGAGAGAAGTTATGTTTCGGACCTTTGACACTCATTGGTGGGCTTTGACTGAAGTTGGATTGTTCTGGTATCCTGCTGGTATATCCTCCAGGATTTCAAAGTGAATCCTTGACTATTTCACACCGTTTCTGCTATTCAATTCGCCACCAAGGACGTCGTGATTCTGGCAGTACAAGATTTTTTATCTTCACTCCAGGAATTGGAAATACGTTTGTCAGACATAACCATAACCCTTTTTTGAAAAAGGTGAATCTTTCCTTCCTCTGACCCCCCAAAGTTGGTCGACGAAGAGTTTGGAATCCATTTAGGTTATTTGTTTGAAGCTTCTTGATTGTGAGTAGAAGTTCTGGTTGCGAGCACTGAGTGGAAGAAGCCTCACCCTTTCATTTCTCCTTGGTGTTGCCGATGGTAACAGTATAAAGATCATAAGCTGCTCAGAGTGTTTTTTATTTTTACCTACGGTCATTATAGAAAGTAGGCAAGAACACACGAGATACAGCCTCAGCAAGTAGCTCTTTACGCACAGTAAGCACATCGCACAGTTTTAGTTTATTCCGCCAGTATAGGTATGTCATGATCGCGTAATCGCCGTCAACAGCGGATGACATAGCTGTCAAGAATTATAATTCTATTTGTACAAACAATTTTTATGTACTATATGGCAGAACGTGAAGTACAGTACGTAATGCTTGTTGCGCAGCAATTACGCATTCATGAAATTACGCACTCGCCGCTCCGCGGCTACGTGAGTAAAGTACAATGATATTTAAACACATGTATTTTTGTTATTTCGTACTTCAATGAACATTTTTATTATTATCATTATGATTATTCTCATTATATATGAGATACCCTATATCACTCCTATCAGAACGTTTCCATACAGGTTAAAAAATAAAATTCTTACCCGAGGAAGTTTTTTCTCAGTATCGATGTGCAGTCCACCGACAGGAATGATATTAGGAGTAAGCGGTTGTGAATAGTGAAATCCTGGGCTCAAGTTACATAAAAGAAATGCTGCCTTCTTTCCCAGATTATCCAAACTCTGCATGTTTTCTCCGAAGACTTCTCTCGACATCTGTTCCATAACAGGAAACGAGAAGTAAGTTTTCCAATAAAAATCAATGTTGGAATAAATGAAATTTTGTATCCTCTCCAAGAAATTCATTCTGGCTGAGTTCTCCAACAGGATATACGGTACATATGATACTGGAAAGCTGTTTCCAAATGTTTCCGATAAGAATGGTGGTAGAAGAAAAGCAGATATCGCCACGGCAGGAGGTGTATTGAATCTTTCAATCAACGGAAGGAGGCAAGGCGATACAGTAAGGTCAAATATAATCAGATCAAATTTGAAATCTGCAGGATAATTGATCAGCTCCTGCAGCCCTTCGGTGTGGAGGGTATGATTGCATGTCAGAATAGATAATTCATTGTATATCTGGATATTTCGCACTGCTGAGAGGTGTGACAGCGTCTCAGGAAGAAACAAACCTGAGCCTGTAGTTGCCTCGATGAGTCCTATAATAAATGGAAAAAACCATAAATATCCATTCGCATAAAATAAGTAAATAATAAACAGGTCTCTACAAACAACCATTCCAATCGTCCAACCTCGCCGTTCTAGTTTTTTTTGAAAACCTTATAGTTCAATTCATATATGCAGAAGGTCGGGTAGTTATGACTTTTTGGTATGTTTCATATTTAGAGGTACTAGGTTTTGAAAACAGTTTTCGACCTTGCAAATGTGACGGAAGCGCCGAAAAACGGCAGAATTTTTTACCTTGTTATATTTTTTCGAAGTTTCAGCATGAGGGGCGCGTATTTATAAAAGCGTACGCAATAGGTCTCCGCGCCAGTAGGGAGTTAAAGCAATGCAGAATACGTAAGCGTAAACGTAGAATTTGACATCTGAGCATGCGCAGTATGCGAATTTCCTACACCAGGAGATACGTTCTGACATATG